TCCAGGCACAACGTGCTGCCAGGAACAGCAGCACTCCAGCACTGCAGCAGGACTGCGAGGGTGGCTTATGCCAAACAGAGCAGACTCAGGCTGGCGGGTCTCTCATCCTTCAGCTCAGCCGAGCGCTGCTGCAGTGAAGACAAGGGGAGCAAAGGCAACAACAGCTCCCTCGGGGACCTGCATTGCCCCAGGCTGCAGACAAGCAGCCTCAGCCAGGTCCAGCCCAGCCCTTCTGTCCCATGCAGCCCAGCCTGGCTGGCAGGAGGCCTCCACAGCCTGTGGGCACTGATCAGCCCTTGGCAGAGCAGGGCCCAGCCTGCTGCAGAGTCACCCTCCAGGGGTTTCTGTCACCAGCACTCCAGGACCTTCTGTGGGAAGACGTGGGCACACACACTGCCCGAGGTGTCCTCTGTGACGGCTCTGGGAGCAGCACCTGGGCTGCCACCAGCAGGCAGACCATGACAGCCCCCTCTCACCACCCACACGCAGTGCTGCAGTGCCAGCACCATCTCCATCTCCACAGAGGCCGAACCCTCTGTTTCCGTGGCAACTCCAGACGCAGCCCCCTGGCACTCACAGCTGAGCTGCCCTGTGCTGGAGGCAGCAGCGTGCACCTGTAACAGGATGCCAGCAGCCCTCTCCCTTGCCCTCTTCATCCCAAAGGTAGTGTTTAATCATAACCTCGTGGTGAGGAACAAGCACTGTCCCACTACCTGCCCACAGGGCCCGCTGCATTTCCTGGGCATTCAGCTGGAAGAAGCAGAGCCTGCACAGCAGCTGCTCAATGGACGTGTGTCCATGGCGAGGAGGATGGCACCAGCTCCACTGAACAACCCTTGGGCCACCACATGCATGTGGGAGCAGGACAAGTGCCCTTGTGTGACACTGCTGGGAAGGAGACCCGATGTTTCTTTCCAAACCACGTGCTTGGCCACCTCTCTGGTTCTGAAAGCGTCTCACCACAACATAAACTCCCGCCAGTGCACTGCCAACTTCCCCACTGCCACAGCATGCATCCTGCCGCTACAGCAGGTGGCAAAGGACACAAGCCAAGAACCGAGCACCAGGGTGCCCTATGGCTCAATGGTGAGCTGGCCTTTTCCAAACCCACTAAGGACCCTCCTGGAAGGCTGAGAAGAGCCTCAAAAGCCCTCAGCTATTACAGAAGGAGCATCTCCCAGGCTGGCAGAGAGGAGGTAGTGGGATGCAGGTGACCCCAGCATCCCCAGCCTGCAGCAAACCTGCAGCTGAGCCCAGAAAACTCAGATAAGCACATCAGCCCCAAGCAACTCCTTCAGAGCCCACTGGCCTCACATTGAGCAGCTTCAGCAACCTGATTTCTAGTAGTATCCATTCCTGGGAGCAAGTCCTGCAGATCCAAACACGACAGTGTTTTATCCCCACGTCCTGCTGTGCTAAACACACTGCCAAAACTCAGCCACAGGTGATGAATCCTCCTCTGGCAGGATTTAGGAATGGAAAGCTCTTTCCTTCAGTGCAGTGCTGGTGGAATCATCAGTGCAACAGGGTGGAAGCCCGTCCTAGCCCTTTAAATTCATGGCCAAAGGCAGTAATGAAGGTACTACATAGATCAGGAGTTGAGAGCTCTCAGACAGTCACCCCAAGACCTGCCAGGACTTCAGGGGCAAGCAGCAAAGCTGCAACTTTGAAGGAAAGCCACACCTCCTGACACTCAAGCAGGCCTCACTGAATGTACACCCAAAGGTAGGGGAAGATTACAGCTCCAGTACACATCTTAGAGAAGCCTTCAAGAGCTAAGCAGAGACAGGGATCGGCAGTGGGTGTTCACCGCAGATACATGGCAACAGGGCGGAAGCTGGACTCCTAACTGAGATGATACAGAAGAGGTTAGAAGTATCAGTCAAAGCAAGGAGAGTGCTGGGCCAGCAGCCATCATTTCCCAAGATGAGTTTGAGGGAGCTGGCAACATTCTCACCAGCCTTCAGGGCACACACTGCCGCATACCACAAACCAATTTGCTCAGACAACACCAAAGCAGCTGGGATGACACAGAGTAATCTTCATTGACCAAGGCATGTATCCCTGGGAGTATGGACTCCAAATCAAGAGGAAAATGCACCAGCAGCCCTGAGCCAAGATGGTGGAGCAGGCACAGTGCTGCCCCAGCTCCACTGCCCAGCAGTAAAGGATCCCGCAGTCTGCACTTCAGGCCACCCCAGGGGACATGGGGGTCACAGCCCTGGCCAGCATCCCATCACTGCATGAGGTAAAGACTAGGGAAGGAAGAGCAGCTTTATCTTCCTGCCTACTCTGGAAAGCAGACCTACAGCAAATCACAGGCAAAAGGTGGGAAGTGCAACATCCTGAACCAATTCTTGCAGTAAGGAGCTGATCCTGCCTGGGGCACTGAGAAGGGAACTCAGCAGCTACTCTATGCTCATCTGTGATTGGCTGCCACTATAAAACTGCCTGCAATCAGAATTATGGGGCTAAATCATCCCTGTGATGATCATCACGACAGCGTAGAAGGCTCTGCTTTGAAGATAGTCTCAGCACTTCTGACTGGCTGCCTGGAAGCACTTCTTTACCACGTGGGTGACAGAGCACTTGCACAGTTTGCTCAGAGAGGTGGTAGAGTCTCTTCCTTTGACACCTTCAAAAGCAACCTGGACATGGTGCTGGCTACCCTGCTCTGGGTGGCCCTGATGGAGCAGAGTGGGATTAGGTGGACCCAGAGATCTCTTCCAACCATAACCAGTCTGTGACTATGTTCTGCATCTCCAAAAGAGCCCTGTATCCACTGCTTTAGACCTGGACCAGAGTTCTATTTTCTCCACTCATATCTTGTGCATCACTTCCTAGGAGGGAGGCCATTCCCTTACAGCAAGCACCCAAGAAAGCTTTTCCTCTTCACTCTGCCTGACAAAATCTATCAGTAAGCCCTTTGTGATATTCAAGAGTTAGGATCAGCTGCAAAGGAACTGCAGAAACACACAGAAATTAGAGGCTTACTCCTAGGATGACAATCATGCCAAGTGAGGAGCATCACCAACCCTCCCAGAAGCGTGGGGATGCCTTCCCCAACACAAGAACACCAGCAGGTTGGGCCACACCTGCTCCAACATGGCTCCACACGCCCAGACTCATCAGGACAGTGGGACCCATGGGCTCCATGCTATTGCTCCAGTGCATGGCTCAGCAAGTCTCCCCAGAGCTGCTACAAGAGCACAGCAGCAGATCAGTTCTGCTTTAATGTACATTTTCTCCAAGCCACTGGTGGATCTGTGCCTTGCACAGCTAACCAGGACATCTGTTAACAAAGCACAATTGAAAAAGGGGAAACAAGAAACACAGCTTACCCAGACCTGGGCCACCAATCTCCTGCTGCACCTGTGACACCAAGCAAACTTATTAGCAAAGGCATCACTGGGTGTCAGGAGTCACCACAGGGCTCTCTTGCAGCTCCTGGTGTGCCACCCAGTGCAGAGAAGCAGCAGAGGGTTTTTTTCTCCTGCTTCCCATGCCCAACACCCCATCCAGTCCACCTTACCTGGCACCCCCAGGCTTGGAGCAGCTAGTTAGTTTTTATGAGCAGTTCCTCCCAGTAAAGCTAAGAGACTGTCTGGATATTGGAATATCAGTTTTGTAACGAGAGGGGTAGAAATGCAGTCCCAACTTGTGTGCTTGTTTGCATGTGACTCTGTATCATCACATGCCTCAGTTTCCTTCAGAAATGGGGTGGGTGCTAGGCTCGTAGGCCACGGCTGACACAGGAACATTTGGCTGCTGCATGATGCCTGTCAGGAAGATTTGCTCCCGCACTGCAGAGGTGAGTCCCTACCTGTATGATAAGGCTGCTGGGGGTCACCTGCAGAGCCATTCCCTCATCGCCATGATAATTTTTTCTCCCCTTCCTCAGGAGAATAGTGTTCCTTTCCCATTCTGAGCAGTTTTTGTCTGCTCTGCACAGCACCTTCTGCTTTGGCTCTGTTTTTAAGGCTGTCCCTGAGAAATGCCAGGGAGCCACATGGACATCCCTTCTCACTGCACTTCTACCCCTCTACTTCCAAAACCAATATTTCCAACAGCCAAATGGCTCTTCTGCACACAGAAACCCTGTCCTTCTTGCCTTCTCTTTAGACATGCACCCCCAGATCTTGAGTAGGTCTGGACCTTCAAAGAAATTCTGTAGAAGGATAGTCTCTTAGCTCATAAAAACTAATGAACAGCTCTGCTCAGAGCAAGGGACATCTCCAGCCCCAAGGAGCACACCTGAGGCTCTCGGCAAGGATGTGGATCACCTACCCACATCCTGAGTATTTCTTGCTTCAGGTGGACAGGAGCCAAATCCAAGGGGCCTGAAGCCCTCTTGGAGAAGGCCTGAGCCGTGAGGGCCCCACTCTTCCAGGAGTCTCAAAAATAATTCTGCGACTCAGATCTATCTCTGGTCCTCTCTCGTCTTCCATTCCAAGCTGGCTCACTGGGAGACACTTCATGACAGCCAAGCCCAGTCCTCCTGAAGGCCTGGGACCTATGCTTGGACCTCAGATGCCCATTTCACAAAACTCAGAGGCACATTTTACGGTTTGCAAACACACCGGCTTCTCCAGAAGACTGGGCAAGGAAAAAAAAAACAAACACACATATGGAAACTTAGTGCGCAATTCCCCCAAAACAGTTTCGTCAGCAAGCAAAGAGTCAGACAGCTGGTAGGAACCCTTCTGTTAGCAAAGGGGCTGTTGCCTAACACCTAAAATAGGAAAAATCCCAACACATTAGGAAAGCCATAGGAATCCAAGTTACAACAGTTCTGGATTTCAGCAGTAGCAGGCCAGATTTCCACTTATCACAAGGGGGTTTCTAGCAAAGAATCAGCTACCATACAAGACTCTTTCATACTGCGGCATGACCTCTGATCTTCCACCATCAGCTACTGCAACCCATTCTGTGCTACAAAACCCTGCTCAGCCTTACATGGGATCTAGAAAGGAGAATAAAGGCTTTCAGGATAAACTCACACTGCTTCCAGGGGCTGATCTCAGCGCTCTGCTCAGGCACAATTCAGAATCTGCAAAGAAGAAATTGGATTTGGTTAGAAATAATAAAAATAATAATCTTCCCAGGAATGATGACAAGCACACGGATGGACAGCAGTGTGTTTCTTCACAAGACGGTGCCGAACTGCTTAAGCACTGCATTTAGACTCCATACAAATCCACTTGCTGGATATTTTCTGCTACAGATTATTTTATGTGCAGCTTTACTCTCAAAGAGACCAATGTGAAAACAGTACCTTCAAAAGCAGCAGGTCTGTTCGCTGCATGTGTTCAGAGCCAGCTCTGCCAATTTTGAGCAATAAAAGCAAATATTTACTACGGGCAGTACTGCAGTACCTCTGAGAAGTGAAACAGATAGACTCTTGGCTTGCACAGACAATTGCTACCCAAGTTCTCATTTCAGGGCCATCTGTGCCACATTGTCTTCTGTCCCTCTGTGTCACCTGCATGGCCCCTCTGATGATAGCCCTCACTGGTGGCAGCAAGGGCAACATCTGGTCGGCAGGACCTTTATCCCAGGCAGTGACACACACAACAGGAGGAGCCAGCCTGGCTCACCCATCCGTGGGGAAGCAGGTTTGGCACACACATAGTAAAATGAGCAGTTTTGAAAGGAAATGATCTCTGGATCCTATAACAGAATTTCCAGATCCACTTTTTAGATGGCAACTATATACAATGAAGGGGAGGGGGGGGGGGGGG